GATGGTGTTAAATTAGTACCTGATAATAGATGGCAACAGATAACTATTACTTATTGTTTCTTGAGTTTCAGACTATACAACACTAATTATTAACACTAGCTCTGAAATGATGCATATACATTCATTATCAAGGTTTCCCATCATTTAATGGCTAATGCATTGGACTGCAAAACAATTTTTTGTTGTAGCTTATTAGTATATACACTACATTAATCCAAATTGTAAAAAGGTTTTTTTTTTTTGGTACACTTGAATGAAGTTGCTTGGCATTATAGAGTTTTTAATAGTCAAACCTCTTATTTGCACCCTACACATTTTTTTTTTTTTTTAGGGTCAATACTCTAAACTAATTTTCATCTTAGTTAACACCTTTCATAATTTAAAACCTGTAAAACAACCCAAATTACTAATAAAGTCATGGCGCAAAATAGGGGGCTTGACCATAAATTCAAGGTGTAAATAAAGGGTTTGCAGTTAAATTTTGAGTTTTTCATGGGTAGGGGTGGCAATTTGCCCCAATCCTTGTGGGGTCCACAGGAATCCCCACCACTGCGACAAGACGAGGAGGAATATTCATTTTAGTTAACACCTTTCATAATTTAAAACTTGTAAAAAAACCCAAATTACTAATAAAGTCATGGTGCAAAATAGGGGGCTTGACCATAAATTCAAGGTGTAAATAAAGGGTTTGCAGTTAATTTTTGAGTTTTTCATAGGTAGGGGTAGCAATTTGCCCCAATCCTCGTGGGGTCCATAGGGATCCCCACTACTGGGACAGGACGAGGAGGAATATTCCTCCACTGGGTAAGGACGGGGATATTTTTCCTTGTGAGATTACATTGGAAATTCCCTCGTAGGGTCCCGTGCGAATCCCTATCCTCGCAAAAAATTTAAAAAATATATAAATTAATTTTATTTTAAATTTAATTCAACTCATTATAGTAATACACAATATATATTTCAAATCCAAATCCAAATCCAATCCAATAAAAATTAAACTTAATCCAAGTATGTTGGTTTAGCTATTTATATTGGATTGATCTTTATTTATGTTTGAAACAAGTCTTTTGGTTTAGTTATTTATATTAAATTGATTTTTATTTATTTTTGGATAATTTATATTTGATTTTATATTTAATGAATTTTATTTAATTGTACTTAAATTTTTAGAATTTTGTTTATTATAATTGAATATTATTAATTATATATAAAAAATTTATATTTTGATATAAATTAGAGGGGAATAGGGATCTCCATTCCTCATGAGAAACTGGGATAGAAAGCAAAATTTATCCTCTGCCAAAAATCCCCACAAGGATCCCCATCATTGCTATTCGTAGGGATCCTTGTCCTTGCTATTTGCGGGGATGGGAATAAGAATGGGGACAGGGACAGGAACGGAGATGGGAAGGGACTTCTCGGCCCCACGGGGCTCGTTGCCATCTCTATTCACGGGTTCTAAATAATGGAGGGTGTTAATTAGGACAAAAATTAGTTTAGGGTGTTAATCATAGAAAGGAAAAATGTGTAGGGTGCAAAGAGAGCCTTTGGCCATTTTTAATTGATCTTATTTCCAAATCAAGGTTTCTAATCCTAACTCTCTGGCCACCAACTCAGCGAAACTTGGTCCAGTCCAAACTACAAACGGTTAAAGCTCTATACGAACCATCCCCCTAATCTTATTTTAATTTCAATTCAGATTTTTTTTTATAGGCTCCAATGCAGCCTAATAAACAAATATTTGAAATGGTTGAGGAGTCAGCAAGACTAGCCAAACTGTTTCCTGAGAAAAGCTGGCCTGTCTTTGCTTTCCTTGATACACATCATCCAGACGTTCCAGAGCCCCTTATCCACCTCATTGTATTGCTAGAACTGATGAATCAAAATTGGTTCCTGGTTGTTTACTACTCTTTATGGCTTTAAATTTCTTTTTATTGGCATATCCTATTTCTTTTCTTTTATTCTGAATTTTTGCTGGCTTTTGCTTGTAGCACTCCAATGGCTAGAGAATGAGCCTAATGCAACCCTTAGGTGCAAAGATTGCATTGATGGGTTTCTCGGTTCAATTGAGAGAGCTAGTTCAAATGTTTTTGTAAATTGGGAGAAAGATAATCAGATAAAAGCTGTAAGTGCTTCTTCTGTAGGATTTAATAAAGAATTGATGGTTTATTACTTGTTTTATCTAATATGCTCTACTTTCTCCTGATGCTAAGGTTCTAGTGGTAGGGATATGCACAGAAACATGTGTATTGGATTTTGTATGTTCCACACTATCTGCTAGAAATTGCGGTTTTCTAGCCCCATTTCATGATGTCATTGTGTATTCTCATGCTTGTGCAACGTATAATCTACCTGTTCATATTGCTAGAACTATTGAAGGTGCTCTGCCACATCCTCAGGTACATATTTTAAAGTTTGAATTAGTAAGTTTGGTAAATTTTGTATTGGATTGAATAAGAAAATTGTACTAGACGAGAGTTATGGGAAGCATATGGATATATTTGTAAGACTCTTAGAAAAATGAATTTATGAAAAGTTGGAGGTATGCCTTCAGCTAACAATCTATACCATTTCACATTATGATGATATATCTTATATTGTGGTAGTTTCAGCATAATCAGAAAAGAATGTACCAGAGAGCAGTGCCTGGGAACGAGTTCCATATGCAATTAGATTGTATAAAAACAGTTAATTAAGAATGATTTACTTTTAAGGTTCTTCCCCATCAGTAGTAGAAGAAACAATCATATCCTCATCGATTTTTTTTTTTTTTTACTTGTTGAATTTATGTCCATGGCTGGATTTGATGCATCACATAGGCCTATACATGGCTAAGGGAAGGGAAGCAAGGGTAACATCAGAGGTGTCATTATCATGCTATAGCTAAGTTGATTATGCATTCATGATTATTGAAAATGCTTAATGTGTGTAAGAGATGTGGCGTTATTACTTATTATCATAATGTAAATTCATCAAATAAAGTTTGATTGCCAATCAACAGATGGTTATGCTATTGCTATAGACTTCAATTTATACGCCATTTCATTGGAATAATAGAATTGCTGTAAACATTGTTTCTTTTATGCATGCACAGAAATTAGAGATTGTTATTGAAACGTTTACCACATAACAGAGGATGTAACTAGAAAATCCACATCATGTGAAGTTACTGTTCATTTAAATTAAGAAGACATAAATGTAAATTTAAAATGCGATAATGCTGTGAAATGCATCTCCATTAAGTAAAATGAACTATGGAAATTAACAAAATATTCTTCTCGTTCTGATAATTACAAGCTATAAATATTCTATAATCAAGAGAAAACATGGTAGGAACTCTCAAACATAATGACACAGTTTTACCTATTTGTATCCTGATTTTAATTCATTGTACTTCTTATTTAGTGCAGGGGGCACGCAAGATAAGATTTTATTCTTTTGCTTCTTGGCTTTAACACCAAAAATAAATGACCTTAAAGGAACCCGAGATCGGCTTTCTAAGTGTTGCAACTGGTCAGGATGGTTCTTTGTTTCAGATAACCCAAAGTCCTCATTCAACTTTGCTAGAGTCCTCTCAACTTCAAGCTGGAGAGTTGTTATGTGATCTATACCTGCCTGCAATTCATCTGCAACCTTGTTATTCTCTTGTTTCATATTTAGAACCTCACCTTGGAACTTTGCAGCCTGGTAACTTGTGAACTTGAAGTCATCATCTTCAGCACTGTTCTTCAAATCCCTTGTTATTTCTTCTTGAATGTCACACAAAGATGAGAAACGGTTCTTGAGTTCTTCTTTTAGAATTACACTCTTTTCTAACCAGACAGTGAGTTCAGTTTGTATTTCTCTCAGATGCTTGTATATTGGTCGTGCATCTGATTTCAGAAAGTATTTTCCAGTGCTACTTCCTTCTTGCTTCTTTCTTTCCTCAAGTTTCGATGCCTCAGATAATAAATCCTTCACTGAGGTTTCGAATTTCTTTATGTGACCGAATGAAGTGCTGAATCTTAACCAAAAATCCAAGTTCTCCTCTAGCAGCTCATCAATGCTCATCCTAAGTTTTTCTTCAATTGGTGAAATGGTTTGAGCTTCGTCAATGAATATCAACTTAGTTTCTTCTTTTACTTCTTTTTCTCCTGGAAGAAGTATTATGGTTTCAGTCACAGCTGCTCTCTCAGAAGTCACTACAGGATCAACAGGTTGGTTATCCTTGAACTGGTGGTGGTCAAGATGATTGTTTTCACTAGCACCTACTTGAGAAAGGCTCAGCTTCTTACATAAAGATCGAATCTCTTCATCTTTCTTGGCGTTTGAGCTCTTCAGTTCTTTTAGCTGCAATGTAAACTCAAAGATGTTGTTCTGGTTATTGGTCTCTAATTCACTGAACTTCCTTTTCATCTCCTTGAGGCTTCTAAGAACTGATGTGTACTCTCCCAACAACGTCTTTTCTCTTCCTTCAACACCATTCAAGAACATCTGCTTCCAATTTGGCTCATCCTCTTCCATTGTTTCTTGTTCCCCTGATTCAGAAAATACAGGAGAGACTACTTTAAAGGATGGAGCTTGCCAATCAATATTGTCATGTAGTATCACTTCTTGATATCCTTTTGAACGCCTGTGAAGTCCAGAGTGTGCACCTTCTCCATAACTTCTAGAAGTTTTATCTTTTCTCTCCATATTGACGTCTAAACCCTTTGTTGAGACATCATCCTGCTTAAGATTGCTCTGTCCTACTTCAATCCCTTTTGTCGAGCCAACTTCTACTAGGGATTCTTTCTCGTTTTTTAATGAACCCGAGACATTGACATCCTCTTCTGCTTTCAAAACCTGAACTTTTTCACTTCCATCAGTAGGATTCTTCAGACATTCTTGCTCATCAATCTCATCCTGGGATTTGGCTTCTATTGGGACCAGGACCTCCTCTTCTGCCTTCACAACTTGCTCTTTATCATGGCTGTTAGTAGGCTTCTTCCCATTTTCTTGCTCATCTTTTTGCGACATTACTTCAGCCGGGGCCTTGAGCTCCTCCTCAACCTGCACAACCTTAAGCTCCTCATTTGATATCACATTGTCTGGCTTCTTGAAATCATCACTAGGAATCATTTCCCTATTTGGTTTGGCTTCAACTTGAGAGCTCTTTTTGCCTGTTAATGCACCTGTGACTTCAAGTTCCACATTGAGCTTCACACCTTGTAACTTTTCAGACAAGTGCTCAAGGTTGCATTGTGCTTCAGTAAAATGCGTTTGGAGATTGTTATTCTGGTCTTTAAGACTCTGGTTCAAATCCTGCAACTCCCACAGCTTTTCTTCTTTTTCTTTCAACTTCTTGCTCAAATTGTTTTTGTCATCGATTAGTGTGGCCTTATTATCCTCCAAGGTTTGGATTTGAACTTGAAGTTCATGGCTTTCTGTCCTCAATCTGTGCATAAGAACTGTTTGTGATGAGAATGCAGTTTCTAAGCTAACCACCTTGTTCACAAGTTCATCGATCTTCTCCACCATCCCTGACACATCAAGAGCTTGACTAAACTTAACCTCAAAGTGTTCCTTTATCTTCTCATGCAACGTCTCCATGTCCTTCATGTCCTGAGACACTCTGCTTCCTTCTTGGTCTGTGCTTTCCAATTTTTCTTGAGCTTTCACAGGTTCATCTTCCACAGGTGGCTTTTCTCGGCCAACTTCATCCGGGAGAGCCTCTTGCTTGATAGACCTTAGCTTTTGCCTAGCATCCTTTATCCTTTCACATTCCACTTCTGCTTCCTCAACTAATCTCTCATGATTTTCTTGCAGCTTGGCTAGTGTCTCTTGACATGATTTCAAAGCCGTCGCTGACATCAAGGTTCGAGCTTCATCATCTTCAATCACATTACCTGCACCGAACTCATCTTGCAAGTTGCCAATCTTATTCTGCATTTCTACAATTTCCTTGTCGATTTCCCAGTATTTTGCTAACCCACTCTCATATGAGCTCTTCATAAATTCCTTCTCCGTTTGCAAAATTAGGATCTGTTTCTGAAGCTTGTCAATTTTCACAAGTCCCGCCTCCTTGCTTATTCCAGATTTAGGAACAGTAGACGTAGGCACTGCCTTTGTCGCCTTATTAGGCTGCAGTTTCTTTGTGGCTGAAGTTATGAGGCCCTTCAAATATTTAGGTGAGCCCTCTGGAACTTTGGGGATATTACTTGGTTTTAGCCTCTCTGTAGGCCTTCTTGGGATCCTTGGGGAGGCATAATCATCTTCATCGTCTGAAAAAGCAACTTGATCTGGAAAACAAGAAGCAAGTGTGTTGTTGGCATTTTGCAGCTCCGTTGATATGTGGTCATACCTCTCAGCCAAGGCACGATAAGCCCGGTAAGTTTCTTCGACAAAGTTTATCAGCTCCGGCCTCTTCTTGTAATACATCTCTGCCCTCTTGCGGAATGAGTCTCCATCTTCTTCAATGAGTTTAAGCATACTTGCCACCTTTTCTTCCATATCTACAAGAACATTATGTATTCGTACAATTAATAAACCATTTTGAAGTCTAATCCCAAATAAAAACAAAAATGCGTTATTCTCTACTTCAATTTTTCATCCGAACCAAAATTTAAAACCAATTAGCCAAAAAAAGGCCAATTCAAGTTAGAAACAACTAAAATGTCATTAATAAATCTACACATGCCGTTCTATTTGCTGAAAAAAATAAAAATAAAAATAAATCTACACATGCCTAATTCATAAATGACATTTTGATGTTTTTCATATATACCGGAAAATTTAATCACTATTCCTTAAAACTCTATCCAAAATGGGAAGAAGGAAGTACCTTGGAGGCTTTGTTCCAGCCATTTTGACTGCTTTGTTCTGATATGGCTGGCCAACCACCAAGAATATGCATTGCTCGCAGCTCTCTGCAACATTTTCTCTCACCTTTCTCTCGGCCAAACAATATTCAGAGACCAAAATCATTCAACATTTTTCCTATTAAAAAAAAAAGGGAGAAAAGATGTGGAAGGTAATACGGAAGAAGAAAGAAAGAAGATTTTGAATTCAAAATGGAAGGAAAACAGATGACTTGTTCTAAACAGAAATTAGGATGTACAATGTTGTAGTTATGGGATGATGGAGGGGAGCAAATTTCGCCCGTATATATTGTTGAAGCTTTCCTTCTTCTCAATTTAAACAGAGGTTAAATGCTTTGGGTGGTCCCTGACATTTTAAAAGTGAACATATTTGGTGCTTAACTTCTTTACTACTCAAATTCGGTCACTAAACTTTTTTTTTAAGTTACATACAATGAGACCACTTTCTTTCATCTCTTAGCACCTCTCATCCACAACTTGAACCTAGTGCTTTTTACTTTCATTAGAAACAAATTACAACTAAGGGTCATTTAGGTCCTTGGCGTCTCTAAACATTTTAAATTTTATTTTGTTAAATTATTATTTAAGATATTCACAAGACCAAAAGTTTTCTCCCGTGCACTGCTCCTAGAGTTGAGAGCAATGGCGACAGGTTTTCCTCCTTAGGGTTCTCTTCGGTAGAGGAGTTCCTTCATCTCTCCTTTCTTCTTACCCCTTCCTTCCTTCTTACCCCTTCCTTCCTTCTCTTGATCTCCTCCTTCATCGTGTTGTTGTCTTGCTTTGGAAACTCCAACCCAAGGGACCATAGGGCAATGACATATCTGGGTTTTCTAAAGTTTA